ATTTTCATAAATAATTTATACTATTGATTTATACAATATACTATACCATATTGTTTTATACAAAATGTCATACTACTTTGCCGGGTACAGGCCCAGAATTTCCCCAGAACCACTGGGGTAATTGAGCTGGTCCAGATATTTCTCCACAGCGGGTCCAAACAGCACAACATCTTTGGGCCTTTCCACTGAGCCAACCATGGCCTGGTTGGCTGAATTATTAGGGGCCCTAGAGCACCTGAGCATTGCTTGGGCAACCCCCTTCCAAATATATGTCACTATTTTTAAACTTTATGAAAATCTACTTCATTCCTTTTACTAACCATATAGCATTTTGTTGCATGAATACAATAGTTCCCTATACCTTCTCTCACTCCTGTTGATGAGCACTGTTTGATCTTTATGACTCATCCACAATAAGAAGTTTTTTCATGCATGTTTCTAATCTTCCTGTGCTCAAATTCTAAGGTTTTTATGTAGAAGTAGAGAGGTACTGAGAGACAGTCCCTGCTGAATATTTGATTTAGTCTCAGATTGACAAATTACTTTCTAAAATGGTTATGCCAATTTAGACTCTCACTAGTAATAATGAACACATTTAAATGCCTGCATCTCTGTGTTCTTTTCAGAGCTGGGTACTGGAAAAGTTGGATAGTTCTTTGCTAATCTGCTAGATAAACAAGGGTATCTTCTTACTTCAGCTTGCACTCACACAATTTACTAGCATGATGTATAACATCATGTGTATTGGTTGTTCAGGATTTTTTTTGTGTGTGTGGAGCACTCAGGTTTCTTCATGTGTTTTGTCAGATTTTACTATCTCATTTCTGGAAATTTTCTCATTTTATTTTTTTATTAATTTATAACTAAAATGTTTTATTCCAGATACATATGTGTGCTTTGTGGGGGCACACCCAGAAGAACACATGGGCTACTCCTGGAGTGTTGCTCAGGGATCTCACCTGGTGATGCTCAGGGGACCATGTGGTGTCAGGAATCAAACCTGGGCTTCCCATATGCAAAACATGTGCTCAGCTTTTTTAATCATCCTCCAACTCCAGTCAGAATGTGTTTATTTCTCCCAAAGTACAGGGAAAGAAAGCATAGAGAGATGGTATTATATAAACATTGTGAACAATAGTGTAAAGAAAGCATTGAAACATAGTCAGTAAAGTAAGAATATTTTACCTTGGTGTCTAGTTTTCCATCTTGAAGGTAATACACAACTATGATCTATATTACCTTTCTTACTAAAGCTGAGTTAAATTCCATTAAATTCTGCTTCCACTTTAAATCATATGTAAGTTCTTTGTGATCTCTGACGCTGTGATCAGAAGAATGGCAATACTAGTTTTTAAGACTTGGCAGATGGTAATTTTTTCGTGACTTGGTAACAGAATCATTTTAGTGTTCAACCACTAAAATATTTAAGTCAATAAACATCCATTCTAAGTCAATGGACCATTTGATTTTCTAAGTTGGGAGTGAGCATTTAACTGTTACTTGAGTCAACAAAGCTTTCTTTAATTATCAGAATCACTGTGTGTTACATTCTTCATTCTTTTAGTTTAATTTCATTTTTTTTTTGGTTTTAAGACTTACTATTAGTTACGCACCTATGGATCACTCTTGGAGATGCTCAGGAACCATATGTAGTAGTTGAATATTAAACCCAGGTTGAGTCACATGCAACGTAAGTGCTATACCCACTGTGCTATTGATCCAACCCTCTCCCCACCACCCTTCAGGAAGGGTATACAAAGTGAGTTCCAAAGGGGTTATGGAATTAAAAAAAAAATTTAATGGTTGAAAAGTCATAACCTAATCTAAGCAAAAATCAAAACAAACAAAAAACACTTACCTAACCTACTTTTCTTTTTTTTTTTTTTTTTGCTTTTTTGGGTCATGCCTGGCAATGCACAGGAGTTATTCCTGGCCCATGCACTCAGGAGTTACTCCTGGTGGTGCTTGGGGGACCATATGGGATGCTGGGAATCGAACTCGGGTCAGCTGCGTGCAAGCAAAATGCCCTACACACTGTGCTATGGCTCCAGTCCCTAACCTACTTTAACACCTTTACAATTCTTCCTCTAAGAGGAGAGTAGCTTTTTCTGAAGTTTTCGGGATGTTTCTCCAAATACATAACTGCAACACCCTATCAGTCACCAATATATCTCCCGCCTTCCCCCAAGGACCCCAAGACCCCTCCATTTCAATCCACCCACAAATCAGTTATAGGGATTAGTTCTTCTATTATTGCCTTAAGGCCTTTGTTGCTAACTTGTTGTGAATCTTTAAGTCGACACTTGAGAGAGAGTTTATTCTGTATCTATCCCTTTCCTTCTGACTGACTTCACTCAGCATGATGGAGAGAAACACTGTCCACAAGTAGATCAGCAAAACAAAAGAAATGAACTTTCCTTTTCCAGACCAATGACTGACCATCCTCCACACTTTCCCTGAAGCTTCAGCATTATTTGAGCAGCTTTAGGTGAAACTGATCTCTTAGCCACTTCATTTAGGAATCTTAGATTTAAATTTTTAACTTTTAAACTAGTTGTAATCATTCTACTTCTTTCTCCTCTTACTAAGAACACTTATGTAATTACAGCCAAAGAGGTTTCACTCTTCTGCCTTCATCCTGATAGGGTAATGACTTGCAATGAGTAGTTGAGCAGGGTGAAAATACAAATGGACCAACAACTTGGACATTGATTTCAGTATTTTCAAACATATTAGATTATAGACTCTGTGAGAGAAGGCCCGTGTTTATCATATGTGTGATGGTTCTGTTCTCAGCATTTGGCTCAGCTGACAGTGCTAGTTAATAGCAACGCTAAACATTCCAAATCCACTGCTTTTTATTAATAGAATATCAATTATGTTAGATATTTCACATTATTTGCCCTTTATTTAATCAAAGAAATCAAGACAGATAAATCCCTGTTTTAATGAAGTTTATATCCTAGTTGTTGGGAGAGACGACGAAGAAAAATGATTGAGGGAAAAAAAGAAAGACTTTCGTGAGGTGGTGAGGCTGGCTGTGTTGGGGAGTTACTGTAGAGTCTCAGAAGACTTCTGAGGAGAGAGCCTAGTGCTGATGAACATTTATGAAATAAAAAGAAAGAGAGAGAGGGGGAGGGAAGAAAGGAGGAAGGGAGGGAGGGAGGGAGGGAAGAAAGGAGGGAAGGAGGGAGGGAGGGAGAGAGAATCACAAAATTGAGTCTCTAAAAGAATTTCAACTCAGGAAGCTCTGTGTCTGTATTTTCATCTGGGAACTTTACATAAGTCTGGTGCAGGAGTGGGAGTGATTAATGCATTGATTTTAGATCAGAGTTAATGAATTTGCAGACTCTATTACCTTTTCTTGGGGGATTGGGATTAATTTATACCCCCAGAGGACAGCTGACTCCTATAGCTAATGGTGGGCTTGGGCAAGAGTAGGACAGTTAAGTGCTTAAGCATTTTTCAAAACAAATTTCTACTACATTTTTCCTCACACCACCCACTGGAACCAGGCTCAATCTTCAGACCCTTGAATGTTTGCACCTTATAGGCAACTGCAGACTATGGATCAGGAATGATTTAAGGAAGAAAAAATAAAAACAGTGTATTGTGAACTAAGTTCATCAGCAGAAACTTGCATAAAAAACCCTTCAGAGATATAGACTCCCTAAATATGGATTTAATGCAGCTTGCTCTTTAATTTCATCTTCTTTAAATAATCTATTTCAAGTTCCTAAGTGTATCTAGTGGGTGTTCAGTGGTTCTTATCCCTTCTCTCCAATGTTCGCCTAAGGAGAAAATAAAGCATGCTTTTCCTTTTTTCTTTTTTTTTTTTTTTTACTTTTGTTTTCTTAACCAAGTACTCAAATCACAGATGCTTCATAGATGGCTTTTGATGGGTCTTGCTATTTTGTTTATTTTGAGTTAGTCAGTAAAGACACCTTCAAACTTCCTTTCATTATAACTTTTTTTTTTTTTCAAAGCCATCATCTGGTCTGACTGGGGCCGCTCTGCAGACTTGCCGCCGGTTTGATTGTTGCACGGGCTTTAACTTCGACACAGAACTCTCGGCCTCTTTCAGGAACCAATTTTCGAGCTACCGGCACAAATGAAAGTGTTCGCTCATCATTCGCAAAAAGCTGCTTCGTTGATGCTGTTCAGTAGGGTTTGAGTAATGCATACAGAATGCGGCACGAGTTTTGCACTTACGTAGAGGGTTTTGTCTTTAACGCCTGGGAGGGCGATTTCCTCATCTGACATTTGATTTTCTGATTTATTTGTCTTCAACGTGCTTTAGAAAACCCCTTCTCGTCCAACGATCATCCGCTCCTTTTAAAGATGACTTGGGGATGGAAACCTTGAGTTCAGGGGTCTTTTCAAGCTGATTTTTTCCACCCACCCCACCTCGGCGACTCCCTCTGCACACTCACAGCCGAGACCGCCAGCATCTGAGTCGAAAGCAGCGCGGCGTGCGCTGAGACGAGGGTGTCCCGTTGGCGACAGGCTACTGCCAGCGGCCAGCGAGCCCGGCGCACAAGGACGGGAAGGGAAGGGGGCGCCGGGTCAAACGCCCTCGAAGTTGGGGGCCTCGAGCGGAGCCGCGCTGGAGCCAGGGCGACCGTTCAACCCCAGGCTCCCGAAGTCTGCTCTCCTGGACGAAGCAAAGACTCAACTTGGGCCGCGATCTCACCGGCGAGGAGCTGGTCCTTCCCGGGGCCGGTGCCGGGAGCCAGAGCATCGCCCGACGGACGCGGGCGAAACCGAGCCGGCGAGAGGAAAAGCCCAGGCCCGGGGCGGAGGAGGAATGAGCGGCCGCGAGCCTGGGGGATTTCCTCTCGCACTTCCCCCTCCAACGGGAGCGGAAAATGTGATTTGCTGTGCATTCCAGGCGCGGTTCCCTGGGGTGACCTCTCCCAGCCGGCCGGGGCGGGGGGGAGCAGACAAAGAGGCGAGGCCGGCGGAGAGGGGACCCCGCGGGGAGGCAGGCGGGGTGGGGGTGGGGGCGGGGGCAGTACCGGGAAAGGGGGCGGATAGCGGGCTCGGGCCCCCGCCGCGGCGTCTGGCCAATGGAGAGGCGCGGCCCCGGGCGCCGCGCTCGGCCGCCCGCATTTAAACCGGGGCCGGCGCGATGCCCCGCACTCGGGGCGCCCTCCGCAGACCGGGCCACCCCGTCCGGTGTGCAAGCGAGCACCGTCCTCTCGGTCCTCCACGGCTGACCCCGCGCCGAGCCCGGGCGGCTCGGGCCGCGGTGGCACTACAGCGCAGGCCCCGAAAACCCGCATCCCTGACAGGTGAGCGGGGACCAGGCGTGTGCGTGCGTGTCTGCGAGTGCGAAAGCGCCTGCGTGTGTGCGTGGGGGAAGGGGGTCGGCCGGGGACCGTCGCGTGCAGCTCCCGGGACCGACGTGCAGCAGCCTTTGCGGGAGCGCCTGTGGGAACCACCGCGCAGAACCGGCGCGGGGGACACCTTCCTGCACGCTCTCCGGGGGGTGGGGGGGGGGGGGGAAGGTTGGGCTCCGGGATGTCAAGAGCGAGCGTGAGTCCACCAGTCCCTGGCCCGCAGTACCCTTAGCTCACCTCGCACCGCCCGGCTCACGCGCTCCGAGGGCGCCCGGCAGCAGAGGCTGGTGAGTGAGCACGGCGGCGCAAGTTGCACCGACGGGGTCCCCGGTGCTTGGGACCCGGAGCGCCGAGAGCGATGCGGCGGTGCCTGGGAGGTATTGGATATCCGCGATGGGTGCATCTGCCCTCCCCAAGGCGAGGTGGAACCCAGTGTCAGGGCTGAGCCGCGGGGTTCCACACAAGCAGACACCCGAGAGTCTCGGAACAGCTCGAGTGCAGCGCGCGGTCCCGGACTCCGAGTGCCGCGAGCCCGCACTGCGCACGCCGCGGACACCGCCGACACCCACATGCTGGCAGCTCTCTCGTGGGCGCTCGAATCCGCTCGCGCCCCTTCTCCTGGCCGCTCTGCGTCCGCTGCGGCCAGGAGCTGCAGTCCAGGCAGCGGGTGGTAGCAACCAGCTAGGAGGCACTCCCCGGGCACCCCTTTATCTCTTTCCTAAAGGCCCTGGTAACGCCTCGCTACACCCCACTAGCGACGGACGGCACGGGACCGAGCGGTGACTGGTCTTTGGCCTGGATGGACACTCAGGTGGTCGCCGTCCTCGCCCGTTCACCGGGCCTAGCCCCTGCACTTTGCAGAACAGACCCGGGGCATCGGGCTGTCACCTTGACGGCCGGCTGCAGCCCGAGTTATCTGAGGCTTTCAGACCTGCGTAGAACAGAAGCACGCTTGCCTTCGGCATGCCAACTCTGTCTTGAAGGAGCCCCAACCTGGTATTCCACCCTAGGTCTCTGGGCTTGGAAAGAGGGAGAAAGGCGGTGAGTAGGGTCTGCAGTGAAACCCTTCCTGCGCTCCCGGGACTGGAGTGAACGGATTCCTGGGAAGAATCCGGCTGCCCTTCTGTTGCCCCGAGGACCAGGAATCCAGGCTCCTTTAGACAGAAATACAGCCTCAAAGTTCGGAGTCAAAAATCTTGCCCTTAGTAATACAGGGGAGGGAGGCGACCCTCAGTTGGTAATTGGATCTGCCGCAAAGAGCACTTCCCAGGGGTGTGTGGTGCGCGCGGCTGTTTCTGTTTCCCCTTCGGGATGGTGCCAGAACATGAACTGATTAAAACAAACTATTGTGTTAAGTGGGCCATCGGCCTTTTAGCTGTCCCAGGGATCCCAGCGTAGTGACTTCCTCCTGCCTGTGCACACAAGTTAAATAAATAGCAGAGAAGAGGTTAAGATAACCTCGAACCCAGGGCGAGGATCTTCTTTCACCCCAGGGCTTTCAAGGGCCCCTCTTCTTTTTCTTTCCTTTTCTGTCTTACTCCTACACACACACACCACACACACACACACACACACACACACACACACACACACACACACCAGCCCGCACCCCTCCCCCCAATTATTTTTGTTTTTTTCCTTTCTGGAAGCCAGAGGTCACGGGGAATTTGAAGGGGTGGTCTTTTCAAATGAATGAGGACTAGATCTTCAGAGAACTCCAGATTCTCATCACTATGGTACATCCGAACCTGCATAATATATCATCTGATTACTACGCTGGGTGAATTGCACAGTCTAATTCTTAGCATTAACTACTTTAAGATTCTTTACAATTCTTTACAACTGTATTTGCGCTCTCACTCTCTCTCTCTCTCTCTCTCTCTCTCTCTCTCTCTCTCTCTCTCTTTCTGTGTGTGTGTGTGTGTGTATTTAACCCCCAGGTCGTTATAGGAATTAAAATCTTCTATAAACTTTATAATTTCACAGGCTCCCTATTTTCTAAAAGTTCATTTAGAGTGAAATGTTTGGGTAGTTTATGCTCTATAGGAAATCCAAGTGGGCTAATGTAATTTTGATGGGAGAGGCTACATGGAGGAGAAGAGAAATCAGTTACATGCCCAGTTTCTGAGAATTGCCTGCTCTATCTTCTAGACTGAAGTCAGTCTTAATGTTTAAGTAATAAAATAGATAAAATTCTAAGAAATCTTATACTCCAGACCCCTCTCCCAAGAAATGGTTATTGACAGCAAAGTCGTGGAACATGTCCTAGAGGAGAAAGTGAAGGGCAGACAGGAAAACCTAAACCTTTTATGTAATGGAAAGGGGCTGGGGGAGGTGAGGGCAGCATCCACTGAAAGACGCAGATCAAGCAAGTGTTACCAACCCATGTCTTACATCTGCAAGGAATTTTCTTTAGTTTGAGCATATGATCTTAGAAATGCAAAGTACAACAGTAATTCCTGGAATAAGAGAAGCCTTTTTGTGAACATGCAAACACAAAATGGATCATTATTTGAGTTACAATATTCATCACATTTTATTGCACCAGAAATGAGTCCATGTGTCTCTCTTGTTAAATACTGTCTTGGGTGTCCACAGAACAGTAGTGGTTGAGGATATGTACTAGGAGTTGAGATAGAGTGAGGCTCACATCTTGACTCCAAACCTAGATAGAATTCATACTTTATTGTGTCTAGAGTCCCTGATGTGCAAAAGGAAGAAACTATTACCTCTCTCATATCTAATAGTGAAAAATAAAAATTTTATCATGATTTAGCACAATTTGCCAGAATAAGGGTGTAGACCTATGGGCAACTCTAATTATTAGTGATGATATTAGAGAGCTAGTAATATTATACAGAACCAGGATATATCACTATATTATTCTGAAATTAAGTCCTAGATCCCATTTGTACAGGGGCTAGCATATTTTTATTGTAATACAAAACTTATAACTTGGCTGCCACTCTGTAGTGCTGTTCAATGAACATTTACTATTTATTACTTTCTGAGTCCCTTATTTTTTACCACAAGAATTGTATACAATCATTAACTTTATTTTTTTTTAAATGCTCTGCTGAGTATAGAGCTCCTGAGATAGTAACTATTAAATGTTCTCCTGTTTGCCTCCTAGGACTTTGGGCTCTCAATCTGAATCAGCCTATTGAATAGGTTTCCTAATAAGGAGGTTGTCTTTAGAATACTTGTAACCCATAGAAGATGAGACTGCATCAACACTAATTTGCCAACCATTAAGTCTTCTTTCTGTAATTTGTCTGAAAAGGGCTAGCAGTAGGGGGGAGGGATGGTAGGGCAACCAGCATGCTCTTAACAAATTCTCTGCCTTATTTCTAGAGGTTGATTATCTTTCCAAAATTAAAGAACATTGAATAACCTTTGCCCTTCTCAAAGATTGAGTCTTGGGGAAAAAAAATAGATTGTTCTAAAACCTGGCAGGCATTTAGAGCACTTGCTATCACTTCCACCATTATTATTACTTTTTTATTTTTGGAAGGGTAATTTGATGTCATGTCCATTGACTGTTTTCCTAAACCTTGATTCACCAGGAAGTTTTGACCAGAAGTTCAGGTACACACATCTGGCTTATTAATCATTGTCTATTTACTTCCCACCCAGCACTCCATTTATGTGATTGTGAGCAGGTTGGTTGACTGACATGAGATACGGGTAAGAAGAAGATAAAAGGTAGCTGGGCCTAAACTTGACCAAAGACACTGAGAATATTGGAGACAGGTCTTTGGCAATTTTATTTCTTGGAGCCTTTGTGAAAAATTGGAATAAATTTTGTGACCTGTCCAGGAAAGAAGAGGTTAATGTGATTTATCTTGTGCACAGATACTTGCTCTTGACCACTAAGGGAAACTGAAAGAACTAATCAGGTAGTGATGAATTGCTTGGAGTCACCATCTATGCCCTCTGGGACAAGTACATTGGAGAGTAGGGCAATGGTTCAAAACAAAACAAAATAAAACAAAACAAATAAACAAGCAAACAAAAACCAGGTGAGATAAATGGGAACTTCTGGTGGAGGTTTGTTACAGGGAAAGTTTAGCATAAAAATATTATTACATTTCTTAGAGGAGCAGGAGTTCATGAAGGAAACTAGAGGCAGGACTTGAAGTAAAGTATCTACTGACAAAGGAGAATAAAGGGAGGCTCTTGTGAGTGTCATGGCATACCCTGGTTCTGTGAAATGAGCTTTTTAAAATTTGGCATTTCTGGGTCATTTTATGAATGAAATTATCATAATATGTTTATAGCTCTTGGTTGGACATGGGTGATAATTCATAGGAAATAAAATGCATATTAACATTTGGATTAAGTTTTGGTTATTGGTCACTTTGTTAAGTGTTGGTGGAAAAATACTGCTCTTTAGAAATTTACATCTTTTAAATTTTTCTCTATCTCCATGAAATCTTTGTTGTTGTGTTTAGGTCACACCTGGTAGTGGTCAGGGCTTACTGCTTGGTCTGCTGTCAGAGATCACCCTAAGCAGGCTTGGGGAGACACATGGGGTGCCATGGATTGAACTTGGATTGACTGCATGCAAGGCAAACACCCTATCAGTTGTACTATCTCTTCAGCTCTCCAAACTGTTTGATGGCAATGCCGTTGGGATTTCAAAAGATGCACTATCTTATTTCCTTCACCAAATAATCAAGTTCAGTTTGGAGTGGGGGAGGTTGGGTGACCGCAATGACTTGACAGAGTCCTGATTTCAGTACTAATTATAGTTCTCATGCGCCCCTTTTGGTCATGTGAAATATGAACAACAACTTTACAGTAATGCAGTTCTTTAAGAAGCAGAGGTCTCTGAGATTTCTAAAGCTGATTTTGCTTCTCTCCAGAGCTATAAGGTTTAAGAACTCTAAATTCTCTTAATAAACACTGAATGTCTTTTAAAGAGACCCTTAAAAGATGAAAAATGAGTTTATAACATTTTCCACATTTAATAAATCTTTTCTGAGATAATTTTGCTTTTCTTAAACAAACAAGCAAACAAACAAACCACTTTGTTTTATGGGTGTTAGCATACTCCCAAAGGAACAGGAAGTCTGTCCAAATTAAAACCGAAAACCACAAGTGACTAATTTTAAATCTGCTGCTTTATTGTTGGTTTCTGCTGTAGTGAATTCAATGACATGAATCAGAAAAAAAACTTACAGCATTCTATGTAGGATCAAGTAAAAAAAAGCAGTAACACTTAGAATTTTCCTAGAAAAAGACAAGGACTAAAAGGCTTCCTAGACTAGCCAAACTGAGTTTAGCCATACTGAAGACCAGCAGTACAGAGAACAGTCACTGTCTGTGCTTCTCATTGGCAGTTGTGAAGGTAGTTTAAAGTGTAGCACTGTAGCACTGTCTTCTGATTGTTCATCGATTTGCTCGAGCGGGCCCAGTAACATCTCCATTGTGAGACTTTGTTGTTACTGTGTTTGGTATATCAAATACATGTAGCTTGCCAGGCTTTGCCCTGTGGGTGAGGTACTCTTGGTAGCTTGCCAGGCTCTCCAAGAGGGGAGGAGGAATCAAACTCATGCAAAGCAAATGTCCTACCTGCTGTGCTATCATTCCAGTTTAAAATGTAAGGATAAAAACTCTTAAGACAGTGTGACACCAGGGCTGGAGCAATAGCACAGTGGGTAAGTCATTTTCCTTGCACGTGGCTGACCCAGGTTCAATTCCCAGCATCCCATATGGTCCCCTGAGCAACACCAGGAGTAATTTCTGAGTGAAGAGCCAGGAGTAACCCCTGTGCATCGCAGGGTGTGACCCTCCCCCAAAAAGGAAAAAGTGTGACCCATATAGTTACTGTTCTAACAAAGGAATTGGGCACAGATGATAGGTGATGAATAAATCTTCATGACTCTGAGAATAGTTATTTAGCTATTTATTGAATGACATATGCAAAAATGCCCACAAGGGTAAGTTTAGAGTAAAGAGAGTCCCAAGTTAGAGAAAGAATATTGCACTTTCTAAACAGATGTTTGTGGAAGGAGATAGCCTCATGATGTAAACCTGTCTCATGCAGTCAACATACTTCCCTTGTCGGTCTTTGATTAGCGTCTGAGCAATGTTTACACTCCTGAGGGTCTTGCTCCAGGACGGCTCAATTATCCTGTACACCATATTGAGATGGGTGAGGCAAGTTGTGGGTCAGGGCCTAGGGCTAGTTTACATGCTCTTCTTTTGAAATGGGTTGGAACAGAATTTTAATTTTAACCCTGGCCCTGAATTGAACAAATAGCAGACACTTGTGAAAACTTCTCATATTCACAATATATTTGCCCAGGAGACTGACAGTCATGGTTCAAGTTATCTTGGCCTCTGGAGAAAATCAGCACTGTTTTATAACTGCACTTTTCTCCTGAGTGATTTTTTAAAAAGACAAAACAAGGAAATTAATTTTTTTGTTGTTATTGAGGCAAAAAAAAAATAACCTCTGTTTAAAGAACAGAGATGTTGTAACATAAACTGACAAAAGCCAGGGAGTCTGCAGTCAGAGTTAAATGTCACGTTATCAGTTTTGAACTTGAACTTAGGTATTAGATTAATGTTGGAAATATGAGCCCATTTAAGGACAGTTTAAAATTAATCTTTGATTATTTCTAAGTGAGTGATCTTTGGAGCTGATTGGTCTCTACTTACTAGTGGTTGTTCCTTAGGAAATGGAGATTTCACAATGAAAGGTAATTACTCTAGCTAATAATACTAAAATATATAACCTTGGGGTGCCACAATAAGGTTAATATTAAGTGAAACTTTATGGCTATCATGTGTCACTCTGGTTTTCAGAGGAGAGCAGGGAAATGATTGCTTCACAGCTACATCATTAGATTCAGTAAGTGGTGTGAAGGGTTACAGGGGGCAACCTTAGGATTCATTTTAGATGGGTGTGATGGCCTGGCAAGCAAGGCTGCCAGCTGGACACAGTGCTCACTGATAAGAAAATCCTTCCACATATTAATAAGTCTCTCTGTGCTCATGACTGACTGTGCTCTAGGACTTGCTATTTACTCAGAGCTTGTTCAAAATGCTGACCTCCTAAATCTGAGTCTACATTCCAACAACATCTCCAGATGATAATCTGCATGAACAGAGTGGAGAAACATTATGCCAGGAGAATGTTAATAGCGTGACATTCCTCTCTTATAATCTCCTTTAAAAATATAAGCTGCTCCTGCTCCTCTTCCTTCATCTCCATTGACCTACCTTCTCTGAATCCCCTGCCTCTAGAGTAAACTTTCTCTGATTTATACTCCTCACTTCCTTCATTTTCCCCTCTCTACATCCTTGAGTTCCTGTGAGTCCGTTTTCCTACTGCTCCCATTTAATATTTCTGCTATTATTCATTTTGTCATTGCCCTTTCTGACCCATGCCTAGCTCTTTGTCACAGCTACAGTAATTCATTGTCATTAAGTTATTCAATCTGTTTGGGACATTTTTAGTGTAAATATTTGCATCTACCTATTTTCTTTTATACATTTTCCCACCTTTCATGCATATACCTATGAATAACATATCACCATTCAAAAATAGGAAAACAGAGGCTGTGACTGTGGCTCGGTTGCAGAGCCCTTGAATGGGGTAAAGCCCTGAGTTTTATTCCTCATGCTTCCAATACATTAATAAATACGTAAATAATAAAAGCAAAACATGTCTATCATGGTATAAAGAATGCTATAATCAGTGTCTGCCTATTTAAAAGAAATGAGGGTTCAGTGAACATTTCTGGAGTTGTGTGATATCTTTCTTATCATGTAATTTGTTTTTAGCATGGGAATACCTCTGGCTGGTACCCAGGTTGTCACTTTGACATCAGATTGGATGTGATCAACCTATATGGCAAGATGAACTTTTTATATCTTTCCTTAAATGAAGTCATTAAATAAAGTTATTTCCCCAAGGTGAGAAAACAAGGTATTATCCTAAGACTTTGACTTCATCCTTGGTCTTTTCTTTACTTTTTTTACTGGGGGCAGGGGTGGGTCAGGAATCATTCCTGGTGGTCCTCTGGTAACGACACTGTACGGGGTGCCAGGGATTGAACTCATGTCTGCCCCGTGTAAGGCAAGCTCCTATTCACTCCATCCCTGGTTTGGGCTTTTTATCCCATGCTCCTCCTGGGAAATCATTCTTCCTCTGCCTAGTGCCTTCTAGGTCCCTTCACAGGAGACCATTGTCTCCCCAAGAGCCTGAGAACTGCACTCTCAGGAAGCAGGAGACCAAGGCGGAAGCCTGCCCTGGTATAAGAAGCTTCTGGCCAGTGAAGCTAATCCATTACATTAAATATAATTAAAATGTAAATTAAAAATAAGATCATGACAAGGAAAAACCTTTTCCCAAAGCAAAAGTAATGTGGACTGACAGAAGAGCAACGTATTAAACACAAGCATGAATACGAAGAAGGGAACCAAAGATACAGTCAAATGTGGTCTCATAAGGCAGCTGGAATAGAGAAGGGTTCACTAAGAAAATGATGGTTGGAGGAATCAGTCGGGATGCGAGATGTGTACTGAGAGGAAATAAAGGACCAAACATGATAACCTCTCAGTACCTGTATTGCAAACCATAATGTCCCAAAGTAGAGACAGATTATGGGGAATACTGTCTGCCATGGAGACAGGGGGAGGGTAGGAAGGGGAGGGGTATACTGGGGAGATTGGTGGTGGGGAATGTGCACTGGTGGAGGGATGGGTGTTTGATCATTGTGTGACTGTAACTCAAACATGAACGCTTGTAACTATATCTGATTCAATAAAACAAAAAATAAATAAATAAATATGTGGTCTTGTGAGGAGCCGGGAATGCATCTTGCCAGCATATAAGCCAGGGAGCTGCGGGAGGGAGGCCCAGGAAAGGCACATTATCACCGTGAGCTCCGGCCAGGTGCTGGGACCCTGGGCCCAAGTCCCGCACTTAGAGAATGTGAGAGGCGAGTGAAATATGAAACGCTAGCTGCCATTCATGTGTCCTTGACTTAACGTTCCCCTTTTCCCCTGTCTTTCCTCTGTTTCGCCCTGTAGCATGAGCCGCACCGCGTACGCAGTGGGAGCCCTGCTTCTCCTCCTGGGGACACTGCTGCCGACTGCCGAGGGGAAAAAGAAAGGGTCCCAGGGGGCCATCCCCCCACCCGACAAGGCCAGGCACAACGACTCCGAGCAGACTCAGTCCCCGCCGCAACCCGGCTCCAGGAACCGGGGGCGCGGCCAGGGGCGGGGCACGGGCATGCCGGGAGAGGAGGTGCTGGAGTCCAGCCAGGAGGCCCTGCATGTCACCGAGCGCAAATACCTGAAGCGAGACTGGTGCAAAACCCAGCCGCTGAAGCAGACCATCCACGAGGAGGGCTGCAACAGCCGCACCATCATCAACCGCTTCTGCTACGGCCAGTGCAACTCTTTCTACATCCCCCGACACATCCGCAAGGAAGAAGGCTCCTTTCAGTCCTGCTCCTTCTGCAAGCCCAAGAAATTCACCACCATGATGGTCACTCTCAACTGCCCGGAACTGCAGCCTCCCACCAAGAAGAAGCGAGTGACACGAGTGAAGCAGTGTCGTTGCATATCCATCGATTTGGATTAAGCGGGGACCACACCCAGCCTGTCCTAAGGATGCAGCTCCAGGCGGGTCAAAAGCCAGACCTAGAACAACCTGTTTCTTACTTGGCTTCAATCTAGCAGCAAGAAGAACCACCAGTGCCTCCCAGCAGGAGCCTGCTAGTGCCTAGTTCATGGGCATGGGTGCCTGTGGGTGTTTGCAGACACCAAAGGAAACAGTCTTTGCTAGAGGTCACTTCCTATCGTGCAAACATATCCACTTCCAAGGGGGCAGCCCCAAAGTTCAAACCAGTCAGGGCACATTTAAAGGGGGCAGCAGGACTGTGGTCTGGTTCTGGCTTGTCTTCCCTGTGCTCTCCTAGGGACCCGAATCTCTCTGCAGAATGAATGTTAATGGAAGTGGCTACTCAGAGGGCAAAATACTTGTTTTTAGTGCTGTGATAGACTCAGTAAAGGAATTTCAACCTGTGCTTGCTTCTTCCTCTCTTCCTCCTTTCAACAGCTTATTCCTTCTTCCGGTCTCAGTGACTATTTTATTTACCCCCCTTTCTGCCAAGGTTTCTGAATGAACTCATCTGTTCTTAGATGTGCAACAAAAAGGGGGAAGTTGGTGTGGGTAGAGCAAAGGTCAGGCAGAAAGGAAAGAGAGAAGATGAGGGTGATCTTTTGATGACCATTTTGGCCCAGCCAACTTCAGTAGGGAGACAAGGAGAGATCTGGGGGCCAAGTGTAAACATAATGAGACCCATGCTTTAGTAAAAGTGGCTTACAGATATTTAACAAAACCAAAGAGAATGGAAGAGAGGCGAAACTCTTGGTAATGCAACCCCACACCTAAATATTGAAGGTTTGAGAGAAAGCTCTGAAGGTCAGAGAGAAAACACCACACTTCAAACTCTGCTAGAAGTGACCCCAAGTAGCCTCCAGAGCACTGCCAGTTGTAGCAATCCCAAACAAAACAAAGCATAAATTAGTCACCCCAATTTACCAAACCAAGTAACCACAACAGCTCCTTCTTATTTGCCCCTTGGATGGACAATAGAGGTAGTTTAGAAGTTTCTACCCAGGGCTGAGAACAAGATAAAACCTCACAGGCCAGTATATCCAAATATCTTCCCCCCTCCCCACTTGGGTATAATAACTTTTATGTCAGTATCTTATTTCTGTGTATTGCTTCTGGAATCAGAATCCTGTTTTAAAAAGGTTCTTCCTCAGCTGAGTAAAGAACCAGTCCAAAAGGTGAATAAAGAGCTTACTCCATATATGTTTGAAGTATATTATGGGTCTTATTGTCGAGCAAATGAGCTGGAGAATATAAGAGTGATAAAACACAGGGAATTGCCTTGGCCAAAGGGTAGTTTGATGCCTGGGGAAAGTATAGGGTATGACTCTCCCTTTTTTGTTTGTATATTGAAGGTCTAAAGGGAAATCTGCTTAAGGAAGGAGAGCATTTGAATACATTTGTTACTTACTGCTGGCCAGTTTGATCTAACATTGTAGACACTGTTCTATTATTAAACTCAGGCTATCCACATTGTCTACTTGGCCAAAGTTATCTAATGGCCAGAGTGTCAGGCTGGTGATTTTTGGATTTGGCTAGCCTGTACACTTTAAGGCTGAGGTTTTACTGTGTATCCTCCTCACCTCCAAACATCAGACATTCTTTTTGCCTCCCTACTGAAATCACATGTACCAGAGACACAAATGGTATAACCTTTTCTTTCATTTTTCCATTAAGGACCTAGCACTCACAGAATCATTGCAACTAAAAATTAGATTGCTTTTATTTTATTTTCAATTTGCTCCAGTGCTCTCACATCTAACAACTACATAAGAGCCATAGTTTGAGTGAGGACTTATCTTGAACACCCAAGATAGTGGGTCTAATTATAAAACTTCCAAATTTACTACTGATGATTCTGCATGAAACAAACTTGAGCAAAATACATCATCTGTGCATTTTGTTATGCTGTCTTACCCTGCCCTAAATCTTTCTATCATCTACATCCTTCAACAGTAAAGCACAGAATGGATTTAATTAAGCACGCAAATGCTAAGCCAGAATTGGGAGAGTGGGGGAGAGAAAGGGGAAGGAGCTGAAAATATAAAACCACACGAGAAGGGGAAAATGACATTCAGAACCAGCAGACACTGAGTTTCTCTTGTTGTTTTAACTCTGCCACAAGCATGCGATTTTGTTAAAAAGAGATGACTTAAGTTGGCAGCAGTAATCTTCCTTTAGTAGCTTGTACCACAGTCTTGCATGTAAGTTGGATTTGGCTTAAGTAAAGAGAATTTCCTCAAAATTAACTTCACTGGGATAATCAGCAGCATAACTACCCTAAAAGCACAGCACGAGCCAGAGAGGGAAATGCCTGCTTTTCTTACTGTGCTTTTATTAAGACTAGCACGAGTCTGTATGTTTTCCAACATTACCGAAAGTGCCATATCTTTCAACTCCCTATTGTATTGGAGTCTCCCATAATGTTATGATGTATTTTGTGACTATAGTGGAATATTTTTGTGACAAGATATTTGTGATCTCTATCTGTCCTATGAAAATAATGCCAAACACTAAATATACACTTTATGATGTACACTCTGTGCTTGGCATTAAAAGAGAAAAACATATCCTTGTTAAAGCTGTAAGTTGTTGCTTTTTTGGGATTTTTTGTTGTTGCTGTTGCTGTTTTAGTTCTTCAAAGTTAAAAAATATAAGCGAACAATTTAGAGGAAGGGATAATTTCCACTGTGTGGAATGTGAATAGTAAAACGAAAAGTTATGGGTATTTAATGTAATTATTAATTCAAATATTTTGGTCACTGTGATGTCAAAGCATTTTCTTTTTCTTTCTCCTTTCTATAACTTCCTCTGAGTTGAGCAAAGGAGAGCAGGCAAGTTGTATGTCGTTGGAGGATTTGATCAGATCAGAGGGAAATCATGCAGTCTTGACACACTGAGCTTGTGTTCCAGAGTCAAGACATTAGTTTTGTTTTAATTGATTATTCCTTAAAGGTCAACATCTCCAAGACGCCATTAAGACAGATTTAAAAGGTTATTTTGTATGACTTATGATGTGAGTATACAAACAAGTAGCAGATAATAATGAACAGTTCACAAATCCTTTTAAGGAAAATATCTAAAAAGTGGATGTAAGAACATTTATAAGTGACCAGTTCGTGCTTAAGAGTGAGAGCTGTTCTATGGATCTGTCACTCTCAAGATATTTAATATTAACCACCTAGGGTATTATGTCTGCTTTAATCATTTAAAAACATCAGAGGATTATATAGACTTTGATTGAGGTACTTTGCTGTGTATGAGGATGAGAAGGGATTTGATAGTCTTGTAAAAGCTAATTTGGTGGAAAGCAAAGTTTTATAATCTGTAACTAGATTTAATTTCACACCAGTAATGGTCTATATAACATTTGCCAAAGAGCAACCAATAAAGCAAACCTCTTCTCTGTTTATGCATGTGTTTTTAACTGTTTTGTTTCATGGCGTGGGGGGGAGGTTGAGACAGGGATTTACTTGTCCTGGGGCGGGGGGGGGAGGAGAAAAAGTTAATTAGGTCTCTTATGACTCAAAGGGAATTCATTCATCCTTCAATTGAGATATTCCAGATCATGCATCTAGGATCTAAGCTGAGGATACCTCAGGCTACCACAGTTAGAGATGGGGTGTGCTCAAGATAGCTCTCTTGCAAATAAAAGAACTCAGAACTAGAAAGAAGAGCTGGAGAGGATTATACTATTTATACTGATTATTTATATTATTTATACTGAGTGTGCCAGAAACAGAGAAGATGAGATATTTCTTTAGAATCTTTAGAAGTATTTGAGAAAGTGTGGGTGAGAATGGGAGAAAGATTTGGGGTAGGGCGAAAGAAGAAAATTTTTAATAATGACAAAATTTGGCAATAGTTTGAGTTGCTGGTGCTGGAGCAATAGCACAGTGAGCAGGGCATTTGCCTTGCACGCGGTCAGCCCGGATTTGATTCCTAGCATCCCATCTGGTCCCCCAAGCACTGCCAGGAGTAATTCTTGAGTGCACAAGCCAGAAGTAACCCCTGAGCGTGACTGGGTATGACCCAAAAAGAAAAAAAAATGAGTTGTCTGTGAAATGGTGAACTCTCATCCTTGAAAATAGGAAAACAAATACTTGATATAATTTGATAGAGGTGTGAGATAAAGTGAGGTGTTGCCCTGGATCTGCAGTTAAACTCACTGGTGGATTTCTGTGCTCCCTTCCTACTTGGAACGGCAATTCAGAATAGCTACTAGAGATCAGTGCTCTGACATAAAACTCCAGCAACTATATATAAACTGCTTTTGACAACTATGGTAGTAAGGAATTTGCATTGTTTCCTCCCTAATTCTTTCGGCTACATGGTGACATGTATACCATTATCACCATTCCTAAGCAGGTAGTGAATGCCTGGAATTTCTGCACTTGAGCCCTAAACACTCTGAAATTTGTGAGAATTGTAACATACTCTACTCTCCTTTTCCCTTTATCTTTTGAGAGGGAGGAGTTGGGCCACACCCAGCAGTGTTCAGGGCTTATTCCTGACTCTGTGTTCAGTGGTCACTCCTGGCAGTGCTTGGGGACCCATAAGTGGTACGGGAAATCAAACTTGGGCTGAGGCATGCAAGGCAAGCTCACTGTTTCCTATACTCTGGCCTATAGTCTTTCAAGGACAAAGTACAACATAGCTTTTTAAAACTATTGTACCGTGTTTTAGTACGCCAGCATTGCTTACCTCCCCTTTCTATCTTTTCAACTTTGATGAGGTTTCTCTTGCAAACCCAGACACAAAAATCTAGAAGTGTGGTATGTTTCTGCCAACAGAGTTAATGAGTTACAAAGCTGAAAACATTTACATCATAAATGTCTCATGCATACTCATACTATGGTAATTTACAATTGCAATAGAAATCCTCAGAAGCAACCAAATATGGTTAGAATCTGGGTATTGTCTTTTTTAAATTGAGATTCTGTTATTTATAATGCTATTTATGACGATTTTCATGCATATATTTCCAACACTATACCCATTATCAATGTACTCCCTTTCTTTCCCAGA